AGACTACTAAATAGTTTGATTTATTACATCTATATATCCTTTCGGGTTAAACTCGTTATGAAGAATACTTTTGAATTTAAAAAACGCTATAACCATTTATTTTATTTCGTCTGTGCGTATTAACATGAATGTGTACTACTAGGGGCAGGGTGAGTTTAGACCGGTGATGCCGAATTCCCTCCCACAGGTAGTTTTGGTTAAAATATAGATAGGCGAATTCTCTCCCGGATACTAGCCGAGTTCCCTCCCGTTCATATCAGCTCCGATAACACTGGTTAACAAATTTTAAGGTTTTGTTAATCCATGAAATGAGTTGTGCTAATTGCGAAAGAATACCTCTAAACATACATTTTGATGTAAGTNACATCACTAGAAAATCGCACAACTACATATTATAGATTTGTTAGACATGTTTATTTTTATTACTGCAATGAACTTGTTGTTTTAACTTTTCTTACAAACACCACATTTTGGATATGACTTTGGGATTTTTCTTCAACAATTGGTCCCATTTTGCGGGTATTGAATTTAAAGAATTTCATCCGTTTCTTCACAAGTGAACCTTTAGGTTTAGGAAATTTTTTCATTGGTAAAAAGACATCACCAGTAGCATCGCCACAACCTACAACTGCGTCTTTCACACTGTCGGACAAGTTCTTTCTTCCTTTTTCTAAAATGGAACGAGTAATCGATTTTTGAAGACCTTCCGGATAGTTCTTAGAAACATCCTCAAGCGCTTTGGGTAGATTAATGGTAGGTTCACTTCTTTTTTTGGAAGTTTCATGTTCCATTCGTTTTATAAACACTCTTGTTAAATCGTTCACCAGTTTATTATCCAACAGTTTCACATTGGTTGTACATCCAATCAAAGATTCTCTATACTTGTGCAACTTTGATATCGGATTTTTACTCACGTTCAAATTTTCTAAAAGGAAAAAGTTCCGCAGTACATCACAAACTTCTTGAATATTAGAAAGATCATTTTGAGAAACATCCAAAAATCGTAGCCCAGTGAGTGGAGCCAAATTGGATATGTCCATAATATTGTTTCTACAGCAATTTAATACTCTTAGCGATTGTCTTATACCAAAAATAGATCGAGGATCAAAACACATAGAATCGCTCTCTCTCAGTCTCTGCTTTTCGATGTACAGTTCTTCTAAGTTTCTTAAGTTGCCCAAACCTTCCACCACACAAATTTCGTTATGACCCAAATGCAATCTTCTCAGGTATACAAGGCATTCCAAATTGCAGATTTTCTTTATTTTGTTATTGTGCAGATAGAGTTCTTTCAAGTGTATAGCGCCATCAAGATTTTCTATCTTTTCGATTTGATTATTGTGGAGATACAAATGTGTTAATTGCTTATAAGACAATTCTTCATTTATACGTAACTTCTTCTTATCTTGATAATATAAATGCGAAGGTTTCTTCTCGTTTTTAACGTCAGAATATTCATCTTTTAGAGTTTCACCTTCGGTAGGATTACCTGATTTTGCTTTAGATTTTAACATAATTCACAACTCAACCTAAACTTCGTCAAATGAGACATTTGACTCACTAGTCGATATCTTAGCAACATGGATGTCTGTGACAGATATTCATAGTTTGTGTCGCTAAGGAACGTAAATATTGAAAAAACAGTTAATACCTTAGCCACCGATTGCTCTTATTGGTTTTTAATTTTTTGATAGACATACGTAGGTATGTGTCAAAAACTATGAGAACGATCTTTAGAAAAAATTCAATCCTTGAATTTTACGCATGCGTCTTAGGGGTATTGAAAACACTAGATACAACTGATTCTAAGTTGTCCAAAAAAAGTGACCTTTGTTGGACATTTTAGGCACCTGGGCGTCGTCAACTACGCTACTGCTCAAAATATCAAGGGATATTTGAGACTAACTGGTTAACTGATCATAAGTTCGGAAAAAAGAGTATGGTAACCGAAAGTATCTCTAGACCAGTCTTGGTTCAAAATATTATCAAATTCAGTACCGAAAAGTTATTTTTGACAAATCAATTTAAGTCGGAGAATAATAACTCGCACTGTAGTCATTCATTCAGTCTCAAGAATTTTCTAGAACCTTCCTCGTCAGTATTTAATGGCTCTAAATTGTTCGCTGTATAATTTCGCCATTCATTTAAGACACAAAGAGGGCCAATAAAGTGTAAGGTGTAAAAAACGTTATTTGGGGTTGGAATTGTTTTTACATTAATACAATAAGCATAAATCTGACAAAAAATATTATTGTCGTGAATGGTCTGTAATATAATGATCTCAATTTTAAATTTCCTTAAGTGTTCATGAACATCAAGACTACTAAATAGTTTGATTTATTACATCTATATATCCTTTCGGGTTAAACTCGTTATGAAGAATACTTTTGAATTTAAAAAACGCTATAACCACTTATTTTATTTCGTCTGTGCGTATGAACATGAATGTGTGCTACTGGGGGCTTTGGTTTTTCTTGTAGGTAAGCTTCTTTTGTGACTTACTTACCGTTTTGGAACTAAATTTGTTGCAAATCTTATTTGATATGATAGGACACAGGGTCAGTTTAAACCGGTGATGCCGAATTCCCTCCCGCAGGTAGTTTTGGTTAAAATATAGATAGTCGAATTCTCTCCCGGGTACTAGCCGAGTTCCCTCCCGTTCATATCAGCTCCGATAATTAAGTTAACGACTACTTACCGATTTTATTTATCGAAAATAAATATATATTTATAGTGCACTTCAGTACTTCAGTAAATGCTGCTGCTTTTAAGTTTT